TATCTGCCCGGGGCACTTCAAAAATCACTCTTGGCTTCTGAGACTCAGTTCGAGTATCTCTGGAGTATTTGCTGTGGGTAGATCATGTACCAGGCACAGGAGCTACACAGAGATGAAGGAGCTACCTCCCTGCCCTGCCCTCTGGGAGTTCCCAGTTGAATCAGACAGATAAAAGAAAACCCTTGCTCAAGAATAATTGCTTAAAGATGGACAAAAATGATAAAAGCCACTGTTGGTGATGGTGCAGAGAAACAGTCACTCTTATTCCCTGCTGGTGGGAAAGGAACTTGGTACAGTCTTTCGGGAGGACGGTTTTGGTAACAGGTATCAAAAGTCCCCAAATTGTGCCTACACTTAAAATCCTGCAATTCTGTTTCTTGAGATTGGCCCCAAGGAAATAATTGTGGCTGGCTGCAAAGACTTAGCTATAGTTATGTTAATGCAGCATTGGTTATAATAATGAAATACTGGATGTAACAGGACTATCCGTCCTTGGGAGACTGGTAAATGAGACCAGGTCTTCCCACACAAAGGTCTTCACAGAGTAGTTAATACTGGAAAGAGATTCACATTGTTGCCTAATGGGAGAAAAAAGACAGGGAACAGTGACCATGGAGGGATGTCGTTTTTCTGGACAGACTGTATTTGCTATGATACGAGCACAGCATTATTTAAACCCTATATCATAGACAATTTCTTTTTTTTTAAAGATTTTATTTATTTATTTGACAGAAAGAGATCGCAAGTAGGCAGAGAGGCAGGCAGAGAGAGAGAGAGGAGGAAGCAGGCTCCCCGCTGAGCAGAGAGCCCGATGCGGGTCTCGATCCCAAGACCCTGAGATCATGACCTGAGCTGAAGGCAGAGGCTTAACCCACTCAGCCACCCAGGTGCCCCAACATAGATAATTTCTTTAAATTTTTTTTAAATAAACGTTTTGATATCATAGATGCTGTTTTTAATTTTATTTTACAGTTAGGGAAATGAGGTTTGGACCATTTAGACTAGCCCACACCTGTACAGCTAGGATTAAAGTGCACCTCAGACAGCCTGTGCATTTAACCCCAGGGCTGAGGTCTTCCTGTAAGCAGAGAAAGAGGTAGGGAAGAGCACGGTGCTTCTTTTCAGATGAAAAATTAATCAGCTATTTATTAAATGTATTATTATTTTATTCTTCATTATATTTTTAAAATTTTTTTAATTTTTTAAAAAATATTTTATTTATTTATTTAACAGAGCGAGAGAGATCACAAATAGGCAGAGAGGCAGGCAGAGAGAGGAGGAAGCAGGCTCCCTGCTGAGCAGAGAGCCCGATGTGGGGGCTGGATCCCACGACGATGGAATCATGACCTGAGCTGAAGGCAGAGGCTTAACCCTCTAAGCCACCCAGGCACCCCATATTCTTCATTATATTTATCTGCATTTTCATTGCTTCCCCCCACTTTCTCAGCAAGCATGGGTTGCTACTTTATTTCAAATAACACTGGCTTATTGAATCTACAAATCAAAAAAACCAAACGCTTGAAATGTTCAGAGTGTTTTTTTTTTTTCCCTGCCACGCCTTCCACCTGCCAGGGGGTGTTTCAGACTAAGAAGCAGGAAACCCTAAGGTCTGGTCTTCAGAACTACAATGAGGGGAATCTTATCCCCAGCCAGCACCTCTCACACAAGATCCCAAAGAGTAAGGTTCCAGCCAAAGGGGTCCAGTCTTCCCACCAGCCCTGGACCTGCAAGGCCTGGGACTCACATGCAATTCAAAAGAGGGCCCTCGGGTCACTGTGGTCCCATTCCTCATTTCAGAATGAACTAGGAAAGGAGAAGCCCAAAGCAGGTGGCAAGGATTCTTTAAAAAAAAAAAACAAAAAAAAAAAAAACACAAGGATTTATGTTTTTCCCAAATCAGCTAGGGATCCCCTAGTGACCCTTCCCACCCCCACCAGGAACTTAGTTCTTTCTACTCCCTGAGCTGACCAGCCGCTGTGATAACTGTTCCCTATTCAAACTGTCTGTCACAACTGCTGTTGGAGGGTGCCATCCTGAGCTTCCACCCTCTGAGGAAAGCGGGAGGCTGGGAGCAGGCCAAAGAGTTGTTTGAGGCGGGTGGGAGGGCAGAGAGTTGTAATCCTGCTGAAAACAGCAAAATGATAGTAATAAACTCAACAAACATTTACTGAGAACTCACCCATGCTGAGAGGTTTACGTGTTTTATCTCATTGAATCCTCCCTCAAAACACCAGGAGATGGGCACTATTACCACGCCTCTCTTGATGGCGGGAGAACCCAGGCTGAGTGGTAGTGAATAATTTGCCCAAGGTCATGTCATGCAGCCAATAAATGGTGCAGGTGGTTAGGATTCTAAACCCAAGTACTCCTCTTGCTAAGCAGCCCCTTCCGGTAGCCATGGGAACCCCTACAGCCTTTATGCCTCGCAGAACACACACGCACACACACATTTTCCATTTCGAGGAAACTATTTTCACGTCCCTTGGCCAGGAAGATCTCACAACATCTCTTCTGGATTTATGTGATGCCACTTTGGAAATAGTCAAGCTTGACTCCTCGGGGCTCAGGCATCCTGGGTTTGTCTGCTATTGTCCTACATATTTCTGTGACCTTGGGTCTGTCTCCGTGTAAAATGGACACAGACACATCTGCACACAATCACACACTGACCAGAAAGTTGGAAATATACTACGCTTTTGCCTATAATATAATACAATATAGCTAAACCATTTGCATTTGTTATTCTTGGCCTGTTTTCAGACTTAATGGCTACTCTGTATCTTGTGGGGGTATTATATATATATATATATATATATATATATATATATATGTATTCTATGTATGTATACATATAAATATAGATGTATAAATAATGTCTATATAATGAAATATGTGAGGAACTTAGCATACAGCCTGACACGAAGTTGCTTAATATATGATAGCTATTGTTGTTTTCCTTGATTTTTATGAATCTGGCCTCAACTCAGTCTCACCAATGTTAGTTCATTGCTCGCTGTGTGCTCTGTTCATTGCTCTAGGGGGAAGCTCACATGCCGTGGGGGAAGCAAAAAGACACGCTCATGAAGAATTCTCCTAAAAGGCAGTCTATATTAAAGTGATGTGCTGGGGCGCCTGGGGGGCTCAGTTGGTTAAAGCCTCTGCCCTTGGCTCAGGTCATGGTCCCAGGGTCCTAGGACCAAGTCCTGCATCAGGCTCCCTGGTCAGTGGGCAGCCTGCTTCTCCCTCTCCCTCTCCCGCCCCTCCGCCTGCTTGTGTACTCTCTCGCTTGCTCTAATAAATAAATATCATCTTCAAAGAAAAAAAAAGTGACGTGCTGCCTGTGTAGACAAAGTGCTTTGAGAAAATAATGGACAAGGGAGTAAATTATAGCCAGGGAGACCTAAGTGGTAAGATTTTTATTTTTAGATGAAATGTACAATACAGGTAAGTGCACAGATCTTAAATGTACAATTTGGTGAATTTCGACAAAAGTATACACTCGTGTAACCATCCCCGGAATCAAGAGAGAAACTATTTCTATCCTCCCAAAAGCCCTTTTGTGCCCCTTCCAGTCAATGCCTACTCTACAAAGGCAGCCACAGCTCTGTGTTTTCCATAGTAGAGTAGCTTGATCTGTTCTTGACCTTCATATAAGTGGAAACATTCACAGTGTCCTCTGTTTATGTCTGGCTTCTCCCATTGAACATGGGTGGCAGGTTCTAATCTGGGGACCAGTTTTTCAATCTTCCTTCATTCATTCACACGTACGTGCAGGCATTCATTCACAGCCTCCCAACCTTCTGACCAGTCAGAAAGTCTGTTCACTCATTCACTCAAAAACAATCTGTGACCAAGGTCTGGTTTGATTATTCTCCATTACTTTCCATCCCTGGCTTTGGTCCTCTGACTAGGAAACTAATAAAAATTGGGTAAACACGATCTGCTGTTATTTCAAATTCTACTCCCCTTCCTCCCACATTCTAGAAAATCCTTGATGTATTCTGGGCATCATCATCAAGTCTTAAGAAAATCTTCATCCCCATCAAGTATATGTTTCTTGAAGACCCTACTGGGCTGACATTGCCTTAGATTATTTTGTGAGATTAGCCCCAAGAAAAAGGAAAGGCTGAAATCAATGAAAGCGAGATTAACTGCAAACTCTGGTGGAAGACTGGGGTAGAATTTTCGGAAGTGTGTTCTCCAGTAGATCACTGGTTTTCCTGTTGTCACAGGTATGTGGTAGGGACAGGGAAGATGATTATGTGGTTACCACAGTTCCAGAAACCCTGGGTTGAAAAAGCAAACAAAACAGTTTCCTGACTGTTAGCCCTTCCAAGGACTTGACTGCACATTAATTTTTAAGAAGAAGGTCTGGTGTGCAGCTTTTGCCCAAATGGTTTGATCCCAGAACCTTTTCTGCCTGGGACGTCTTTGGCATTCCTGTGTTGTCCAGGATGCGTCTGTGGGATTCCCTGATGTGACTTTAGAGAATTCCTGAGGGACTGGGGTCCAGCAGGGGTGTGGAGCAAACTGCCCAGTGGAGGTGGGGATGCGGCGGTAGGGCCAGGAGCTGTGAAGAAGAGGGAGCTACTGCCTGAGGAAGGTAGGAGGAAAAGGGGGAAAGGAGTGGGCTTGAGCTGAGCCTAACAGTTTCATGGAAGTGGGAAGAGGAAAGAAACTTCCCAGCCAGAAGAGGAACTGGCTTGGACTGGACTGGGGCCTGGAGAGGAAATCCATATTGCAGAATTCCTACGGAAATGTTCTCTTCATGACTGGCTGCATTGGGATGCTGCATTTGCTGGACAGAAGGAAAAGGAGAAAGAGTTCATGGTTACCGGCCATTAACATGACAATGATTGGGAAACTGAGTCCCCCATCACAAGCTCTACTGCTAGAACTGGCCTCTTTCCCACAGACAAAGAGCGAGAGGCTGAGCTCTGCCCTTCCCAGGACTGGCTCAGACAAGTTACTTATACTCCCTGCGAGGCAGCGGTCCTAGCTGTCCGACTAGAAGATGATCAGGTGGGCCTTCCACAAGAGTCTGAGATGTCATGACAGATGGGCAGACCTGGGTCTCATCACCGTCGAGGCACGGCTTCACCAACAAGGCTTCCAGCACGTTTGTACACCAGATTGTGGCTGCCAGATGTTCTGGAGTAATTCCGACCCAGGTTCAAGTCCCAGCTCCACCGTTCACCTTGAGCAAATCACTTTCCTTCTCTGCGCTGCAGTTTCCCCACCTGAAAAATGAAAATCGTCATATTTTTTCCTCATGGTGAAATCAGTAATTTTTTAAAAAATAGTAAGATAATGGGTATAAAAGATTTGGCATGTGTTGAGAGCCAAGGGCTTCGTAAAAAGCGCCTCTGTTTGTCACCACCCATAAATTCCTCCAAAGCCCATTGTCTCTGTAAAAGGAAATTTGTTACGTTAAAATGGTTAAGTGATGTTTTACTGTAGGGGGGAGAACTGGTAGAACTAGTTGAAACCAAATGCTTTTTATTTTCTGTAAATCCCACCAATCTCATCCCCCTGGGGTCACACAGGGCATAAGAATAACTCAGTGGGACTCTGCACTAACGGACACTCCTGTGGGGAAGGGCTCTCATTCCTGGGGATGCCAGATTTGTCCCCCTGCTGGGGGTGACTCAGACTGCTAGAGAGGCCAGGGGGTGGGGTACGGGGTGATGTCAGAGGTCACTACACCAAAAAAGAGAGAGAGAGAGAGAGAGAGAGAGAAAGAAAAAAGAAAAAAAAACCCAAACCTTCCATTTCCCTGGAGGGGCCTATTTTATAACAGATCACTATACCCCCAGGCTCCAGGGGAAGCATCCCTCCCTTGTCATAAACTAATCCATTCTGAGGAAGTGAAGAGTGACAGTAGCCCTGTAGCCAGAGGCATGGAGGGTAACATTCTGGGGTGTGATGTTTGAGGTTGGCCCTTCATTGTAATGCAGGCTTCGCTTTCTAACCCCATGCCTTCCCTGGGGTCTCATGGTGGCTCCAGAAAACCTCTTGGGGTCTTGCAAACAGTTTCTGGGTTGAGAAGTTTCAGCCTACTGGCTGCTGGATGGGGAGGTGGGGAATGGGGGACATCTGAAGATGGTGCCAAGTTGTTGGGGTTTGTGAAATGTGATTCTGGCAGATAAAGACATCTGGTACTAATTCTTTCTACCACTCTGTTTTCTTTTGGGGGGGCACCTTCAAAATCACAGATCACAAATCTTAGCTAAAAAGAACTTGAATGAATAGGGGTGCCTGGGTGGCTCAGGCATTAAGTTTATTTTGTAAAAATAAGATTATAGTCTGTTTTATAACCTGTTCCTTTATTTAAGAAATTATAAACACATTCCTGTCAGGCACATTTAATTCATCATTTTTTAAGAAGATTTTATTTATTGTATTTATTGGGGTGCCTGGGTGGCTCAGTCATTACGCGTCTGCTTTCGGCTCAGGTCTTGATTCCAGCGTCTTGGGATGGAGCCCCCCATCAGGCTCCCTGCTTGGCGGGAAGCCTGCTTCTCCCTCTCCCACTCCCTCTGCTGTGTTCCCTCTCTCACTGGGTCTCTCTCTGTCAAATAAATAAATAAAACCTTAAAAAATAAATAAATAAAAAGAACTTGAATGACCAAACCCAAACTTTTCATGTCACAGTTGAAGAAACTGGTTCAGAGAAGGGATTTAACTTGCCTAAGGTCAACATAGCCAATGAGCAGCAGACCTCTGACTTGACCTCTTGACTCCTGGTCCAGTGCTCTCTCTCCACTGCTTAACAACAGTATTGGTGACAGCCACATGCCAGGCACTGTATTAAGTGCTTCACATGCATTTAATCCCCACAATCATCCTATGGAGTCAATACTACTACTGTTGCCATTTTACAGATGGAAAAGCAGACGCAGAGAAACAAGTTAGGAAGCTCAGAGCCACAGCCAGCAAAAGTGGAGTCAGGTTTTGAAGCTAGGCCTGGCTAGAGACCGGGAGCTTGGAATCATTAACACTAAACTATCTAAGGCACAGTAAGTCTTTAAGTTGAGGACCTTAACTTCCCCCAGACCTCCTCGCACTTCCGGGGGCCTGGAGAGTGGACAAGAGGCAAACAAAAGGGTCCCAAACGTGTTCTGTCCAGATGGGGCCAAGCGAAAGTTGTCGGTTATCCAAGGGCAGCGCAATGAAATACTGCGGCCCTATACTGGTCATCAATCAATTCGGAGGCCACTGATGGTTCTGAATACAGTCAAACAGCCAAAGGCACTGGCTGGAGAGTCAGGTCCCTGTCATCTGCCTACCGAGTCTCTTCCTCCTGGAGGTGTCCTCGGGCCCCATTAATGGGTAATCCCCGGGGGTGTCTGCTCATGCCTGAGGAGGGTGTCAATGACAGAGCTCATTGTGAAAGGGGAAGGGGCTGAGGCTGTGGCATCTCTTCAGGGACAGCCATCAAGTCATGACTCAGATTTTGGCAGAGTCTGGCCAGAGAGAACACTCACGCTCACATCCCCTCTGAGGAGGAGGAGCCTGGTGACTAACGTCCATCCCTGGGCGAATCTGCCCTGGGCTGAGAGCCGTGGGGGCCAGAGCAGAAGAAGAGACAAGACAAGGAACTCACTGTTTCCCTGGGAGGCAAGATGAGCCATCCATAATGACAGCAACAACAGCTGACATTACCAGGACTTGGTGCACGAGAGCGGTGCAGAATGCTTCACATGCGTGAAATCATTTAACTCCCTCCCAGGCAGGAGCTGTGCCTACTTCCAAGATGAAGAAATTGAGGCTTCGCGGGATCAAAGAAATTGCCCAAGGTCACACAAGTAGGAAATGGCAGAGTCACGATTTGAACTCAAGTAGTTTGGTTCCAGAATACAAGATCTCAGCTAGAGGGGCCCTACCATGTGTGGGCATGCACGTGTTCGGGGCCCGTGCTCTGGGTGTGGATTCTACATCACGCTGAGGGGGAGGGAAGGGGGAGGGGAGGGGGAGGGGGGAGGGGAAGATTGGAGGTGCAGGTGCTTTGATGAGTGAAGCTCTTTTCAGTTGAGAATCCCAGCTCCCCTCACCCTAGGGTTGTAGGACCCTGTCAAGTTCCCTGACCTCTTCATGCCTCGATTCCACATCTATAAGCTAGAGGTGGTGATTGGATCTAAATCTTTGGGCAGTTGTAAGGATTGAGTGAAATAGGGCAGGAAAAGTGTTTATCACAGTCCGGCATATACTTAAGTGCTCAAAAACGAAGAGCTTCCGTGATAATTTTTAATTATTAAATACACCTTCATATTCCTTAAATGAATAATGCACACATCTAGACGGCGGGTCCTGAGGTGGAGGAGCTCCCAGAACAATTGGAAAATGGAAGGAGGGGGTGACAGAACCAAATCGATGGACGGAGTCTGGAGGGAAAGCCAGCCACCGTGCGGCAGGGGCCCCGGCAGGGCGCGCAGACTGTCCTGAGCACAGGCAGGAATAGTGAGCAGGGGCATGAGGGAGTGGCGAACGATGATGGCCTCTGAGTAGCGGCCTTCCTGAGGGCACACAGTAGGCCACAGAACCTCTTCCCCTTCCCACTCCCCAATGTTGACCACCTGCCACCAAACTGAGGGCCTTAAAAATCTTTCGGGGCAGACCAGTCACGGATTCAGCAAAATCCAAACCTCAATGTCTGAGGTCCAAGGTCGAGCACTTAACCTGGGACTACACGGCCCAGGAGACCCCAACATATCCCTCCCCAACCCCTTCTCCAGTGAGATCAGATCTCCGCAAACACCAGGGGCAGAACTTGAAGAGAACCTGTAAAGACATAGCAACAACGGACATTATGGGTTGGTTTATCCTGCCTACTTGAACCTCTGGGAGCTGGAGCAGGCCCCATCGCACCCCACCCCACCCCACTCTGACCTAGGAATGCATCACTGACCCCAGATACTCCTGTTCATCATGGGGCTGTGCCCAAGCCAGGCCTTGGACATTTTCCTTGTCATTCCACAAGGAGACCCTCACCTGAACCCTCCAAGCCCCCACTCTGACCCCTGCAGATAGATGAGAGGGGGGAGTACGTTTTAGCCATGGGGTTAGTGGGGATTAACAGGTGTTTCTCAGAAAAGCTCTTTAAATTTGGAAGTGTGCAGTATCTTATTTAATGGCCTTTTTAGGGTGCAGGCTGGGGATGGCCTGCAATGGGGGTGGGTCCAGGTCCAGGTCCATGGTCCATGTTCTTTCCAGGGGGCCCTCTCCTTCTAGGGTGGAGGCTGCTTTCCCTGACTGCCTTCTGCTCTGACCAGTTCCTGGCAACACAGAGTCTCCAGATAGTGCTTTGGCTACTTCCTCCTTCCCAGCTTAGGGGCAAGCCCTCTCTGATTTGTTACTTTTTAATAACTGTAGTTTCTTTCTTTCTTTTATTAACGGAAGAAATAATGCCCACAGATACACCAAAAGAATAAAATATAAATGACCCCTGATCCCATTACCCATGATTCTCTCTGTTGTGTAGCTTTCCTATTCTTTCTATTCATATAAATGGATTTTTTAAAAAAGATTTTAATTTACAGACAGATCACAAGTAGGCAGAGAGGCAGGCGGTGGGGTAGGGGGGCGGGGGGAAGCAGGCTCCCTGCTGAGCAGAGCCGGATGCAGGGCTCAATCCCAGGACCCTGAGATCATGACCTGAGCCAAAGGCAGAGGCTTAACCCACTGAGCCACCCACGCGCCCCCTTATAAATGGATTTTAAAAACAAGAATGGATTAGGGGTGCCTGGGTGGCTCTGTCAGCTTAACATCCAACACTTGATCTCAGCTCAGGTCTGTGTTGGGGTCGTGAGTTTAAGGTTCCATGTTGGTTGTGGGCCCTGTATTAAAAAAGGGGGGGGGGAACGGATTAATTTAGTAAAAGTAGAGTTTGAGACTCAAAACTCAAAATGAGGAACTCAGACCCAGCTTCAAGACCCAGAAGCTCCCTGAAATGACCCTGGGTAAGCTGTATCATGAATGGGCCTCCCTCCTCTCATTTGTAAAAGGATAACAGTAGCTACCTCATAGGGTTGGTGTGATGATTAAATGAGATTAAACAGTTAAGCCCAGGGCATACTCTAAGGACTCATAAATGCTAACAACTGTGCTGTAAACTCAGTAAATAACTTGCAATGCACTAAGGGGCCCTCTGCAGCACCGCAAAAACCGCGGCTCAGTGTGCCACTCCAATGGGGTTATCTTACTTATTTCACCGAGCTTCTGTCGAAGAGCATTTATATTA